TGAATGAGTAGATGAATGTCACGCCAACGGGCTTCGTACGGACCCCACAGAACAGCCCGGTTTTATTGTCTCCAAAATGTGGATGCGAGCCAAGCTATTGTGCTGGCTGATATAATGAAATCCAGCCATTTTCCGACCAGCACGCAGCCACACAGGGTATTTTATTTGGCTGCAGGAATGTAAAACGGCCAACAACGTTTAATAATAACATTTCCAACACGCCCGGTTTGTGATCTCAGTTTTGAAGGAAAAAAACAATATTCTTGATGTCGAAGGAACTTTAAACTGAAAAATCTAGTGAAAGGAATGATCACATATAAAACACGTGTTCGGAAACACTGGAGTGAACCTGCAGCAAGCCTAAACTCTTATCTCTGCTGCTGCTGTGCGTATATCGGTGATTCTTGACTTTTCCGCCATTAGATACATGAGAGCATAATTACAGATGATCATAAAGTGGACATAAAGAAAGACGAGCTGAGAAAGAATGGAGCTTCTTCTTTTAGGATTCCTTCCTACAGCACAAGTATTTAAGACGCAGGGGTCCAGCTGAGCTCAGCTGGACCTCCTAGTCATTACAGCTCATTTGTCTGAGTGCTATTCCACTTGGCTGGGTTGAGTTAACAGTTTGCCCTGGCGCTCTCCTCCCTCCTCCGAGCCGAGCACAGCGACACATGTGGAGAGAGGGAAACGGGAACACAGTGTATGGGTTTTGTTGAGGCCGCTTACACAAGCTGCCCGTATACCAAAGGGAACTTTTCTCGCTCGTTGATAGCACACAAACACACACGTGTAGAGGTTATAAATCAGAGTGCATCTTACAACCTTAAGACGAAAAAGGTTTGCGAGTAAACTCCCAGCACCAGCGGCTGTTTAATCCCCATGATCCCCCGGAACGTCTAATGACAGCTAATCAGATGCACATCCCCACTCTAATTAACCAATTAGCAGCTAATGGATACACATACAGTACGCAAAACACCGTGGATTCATTATGAGTCGCTCGTAGATTTCACTCTTTTTCTGTCCAAATGAGGAAGACAGGAGGCTGTTAACAGAAGACATCAGCTACCCCCCGCCTGCCTTCCTGGAAAGTTCACAGCTGCGGCAGGAAAGTAAGGTATAGCAAGAATGACATGACGTAAAAATAAGTATCCCTAAAGTTAGTGCACACAGTATGTTAAAACAAAAAGAAGACAGAATAATGCCATCTGTTCAACCCGAAGCACACTGAGCTTCTCTTTGCGTTTACAATGAAGTTTATATTTGAAGATCACAGAGAGCCTATTTCTATGCTGGATATCTTTTTGGCTCCTTAATTAGCATCTAATAAAACGAATGGGCAGAGCATCCACTCAGTAAAACGCTCCAGAATGCAAACGAGGTGCAAAGTGAGACAGAGGACTGTCAACTCAACTCAAAAATAAACTTTATATCATGGTGGTTATTCAAATTTTATGACTCTTGCCTTGTCGTAATTGAAAAGAGCATTGTCCAAATGCTTTCCGGCGCTGTTATACATGTATTTTTGTTTTTAACCATGTGTCATTAAGTCTGCACAGGAGCACGTCGGGTGAAACAATGCAATGACGGACCAGGACCTGTCAAGAGTGACTGATATGAAAATCAACCACCAATAACAACTGGGCTATTAAGTAAAGAAATAAATTACAACAATGCAGCACAGCGGGACTCTATATAAAGAAAAAACCTGGGAAAACAAGACAATTAAAGGGTGTGTGCAAACCATCTGGCTGCTTCTATTCAGCTGCAAGAGAAAGAACTGTTTTAGAGCTTATAGCTAATGGAGCAAGTACTCATTAAGATGTCGGCCTTTCTGTTAAATTTAAAAAAGTTCATGCTCTTCCATCTTACGAGCACATTGCCGAGTGTATCTTCATAGACCATTAATATTCCTATTAATGGTTTTCTTACTCGTGACATGATGTATGAGCTTAATATCAACATTTTGCCAGGTTTTTACCACCATAATATAATATTAAATCAATATTTCTATATTAACGATGAATGAAATTACTTCATGTAATGTGAAAGGTGTAGACCCTGCAGATCCCCTTTGCTCTACAGAACCTCTTTAACTAACTGGTTTGGTTTTATGTAACTTAACTGCTCTAAATTCAGTTTTACCGCTCGCTAAAAGGAAAGTGAATCATTGTCAGTTGGACAGAAACACGACACAAATGAATGCTAGCTTTGCCAGACGTGTAAATTACCCATTTAGAGCTAACGCGCTCGTGATAAAAACTTTCCAATCTGTTAATGTTTTCATTTTGAAAGTGTGGAGTCAAGTCACATGACTTTAGACACGACTTGACAAACTCAAACACCAATGACTCGTGACTTTAGTTGACTTGAGCCTCAAAGTTTCAAAGATGTAAATGTAATAATTAATAAATGAATAATTGAATTAGCTACCCTACCGTGTGACTTCTGGTTGTCGACGCCCAAAAACCAATATGGCAGCAACTGAAATGCTCTTCTTATACACAGTCTATGGGCTATAGGCAGCGACCGGTTAGCTTAGCTTCAACAAAGACTTGAATCAGACCGGCTCTGTATGAAGGTAACAATCTGCCCAGCAGCACCTCTAAAGCGCACTCATTAACACATCGTGTTTCATTTTCCCAAGATGTCAAACTATTGTCATCTTAATTCAAACACGCCAGTTTTTGTTATGTGTTATCATTCTTATATGATATTTATATATTGGCCTGAGTAATGCATGTGTTGGGAGAACCTGCACGGTGAATACAACCTCTATCACCGGATTCAGGCGTTTAAGTCTGGCTGTGAAAGGATGCTAATTAAAAATTTGTCTCACAAGAGTAAATAAAATTTCAAGGCTTAGAAAAAATGTAATTCAACTCACATTCATCACCAGTAAAGAAGGCTGAATGTGTGAGGCACTCAGGCATGTGTCCATGCGCACACACACACACACACACTATAATACACTCACATATGCAGACGACTCACAAGTTCACAGATTGACTGTGCTCAGCAAGAAGTGCTTCACGGATGGCGGTTTTCCTTTCTTTTTCCGCCTGACAGACTTATCAACCGAGCTCAGGTGGTGCCCCATCTGCTTGCTCACATTTAAAATACACACACACACACACACACACACACACTTACCGCTTACACAAGTAGACACACGCTCAAGGAATAAACTCAATCAAATGTCTGCCCTTCAAATTTCATTTCTGATCCCCCTGGCTCCTTCCCTCCCTCCCCCCCTCTCCGACCGCATCCCAACCTCTCCTCCTGTTCTCATACGTCTCTTCTCTTTCCTGTCCTCCAACAGCAACCTAGAACTCTCCTTCCGGTCTTTTTCTTCCTCGCCGCCCTGCATGTACATGTGCTACCCTGCAGTCCCGGTGACCACGCACCCTGCTGTGCAGAGCCCACCCTGTCCAATGCAGCAGATGGCTGAGCAACACATGCATGCACACAGACAATCAGGACACAGACACAGCATACAGTCGGACCGTCACGGCACATCCGTATTTATCCAGACACATCATCAGAACCAACAGTTTTACACGCAGATAAAATTCTCCATCCAGATAGTCAGTTATAATAAGAACTGCAGTTCAAAACTTGATCGGAAAATCCCTATATTTCCCATTCACTGAGCCAATGGGGCATAATGCATCATGAATGTTTTCATCCCGGCAGCATTTATATAATTCTGTTGTACAGAGCCACGAGCTGCTGTGAATCAATATACACTTCAGCCTGCATAATGGGGCTGCATGACGCATAAGATATGCACATACCAAACACTATAAAATGGTCCTTGACAAAAAACGCTTCGAGAAACTGCTGAGAACAAGGAGAAACTGCTGGATCGAGGGATGAGTAATGGGATAATGCTGAGCTCATGTACTGCCACAAATGTCTTTTCTCATGAGGCAAATGACTCTTTATGAAGCCCCCGTGCGACGGCATTACAGGTAATTACAGATGCAAGAAATACAAAACGAATGCAAGTCCCCTCGATGTTTGTTTACTGGCAAATAAACACACCGGCTGGACAACGGTGTTGGCTTGTGAACCGACCTCTCCATAAAGTGCCATTTGTTAGGCAATTATCTTTATTCTACCAAGCAGAAAATAACTTGTGTGGAATGGTAAGGTGTGCTGGTGCGAAGCTCATAATACCATGCAGACACTATAATTAGGCAGCTCTTTACAAGGGGAAAGAGTGGGGTCCTGGCCGACCTGAGGGAAAAATCTACCGGCCAAAAGCAATTTGCAGGCGCCTTCCAATTTCCATGAATGATTCTTTGAATTTAACGATGTAAACAAACACGGTCTTCAATAGCCCGAACAACGGCGGTGGTCAGACAGTGAATGGTTGGCTGGTTGCTTTGAAATGGATGACAGACCTGCCTGTGCCTAGCTGGTGTTAAAACAAACGTGTTAGGAGATGTTTACGTGCTGGGTTTGCTGTAAAAGAGCCGGGGTTCAGTAGCCCGCAAAGCCCCGGGAATCCGGTATGGTTCCAACCTTTCATGGTAATCTCAATCAGGTTTGGCTCAGGTAGCCATTTGTTTAATTATGGAAAGAAAAGCCTGTGCTGACATTTGGAAATACGACCTGTTGCCCAGCATGTACTTTTAAGTATTTTAAACGGTTGTGTGGAAAAACATTTACGGCACTTTAAATCAGTGCTTTCCAGTTGTGGGCTAAAATCAATACAATGCAGTTGCAAGTCAGGCTCTCCTTGTGGGGACCTGACCTCTCTGTCACCCCGTAGCAGTAAATATGATTTGAAATATGAAATATATGTATATGTGTGTGTGTGTGTGTGTGTGTGTGTGTGGGTGGGTGCATAGATCCTGGCGATGTGTTCTGGGTCAATTACGCTGGTGGGTGGCAGATCATGTCGCTGTCACCTTGTCCTCAGGTCACGCGGGCCAAAGATGATGCACATCAGTTTATCTCTGCTCTACGTGTATACGAGCTGTGTTTACCAGCGGAGAGCCGCGGCCGGGTCCTGGGCGTCTGCATCTCTTGCCGCGCGTGGGGCAGCATGTGGTAGCGCTTGGCCTCGTTGACCAGATCGCGGCACGCCTCCGACGATTTGATCAGCTCCTCGTTGTCCACCACGTTCAGCAGGTAGGACGGGTGGATGAAGGGGAGGCGCACCGCCGCCAACAGATCTGACAAAGTCTGAGAAGATCGACGGCGAGGGGGAGAAGAACAAGAGAAGGATTAGATCCTGAAGATGGCAAAAAAAATAACGAAACAAACATATTCAAACTTTGTTTGCAGACATTTAAATTAATTACGAGCGAGTGAAACTGCCAGGGATGATCAAAGAGCTTCTATACGAACAACATAAAACAAATAGCACACTAACACACACTGGATCACTGTCAGTAAACACATTCTCTCACATCTTTCACAAAGAACAGTTGGATTATCTCCCAACCTCATTAGACATGTTTGTCTTAATAATATCATCGACGAAGAATGGAAAAGCAGCGATCATGTTTGATAAATGCTTGTGCTGTTGGAGTACGAAAACCTGCTGGTAGCAGCGAGACCATTGGATCAGTTACCGTCAGTGTCAGGCCCTCAAAGCTTCAGCTTAACACGCTGCATGTGTCAGTTTTCTATTTCTATACTTGTGCAGGGCGAAGGGGCCAGGCAGGGATGAAAAAACAAGAAATCGCCAACAGTTTCTTTTATGTAAGCGCCACAATGGGTGCATTCCCTCTTGTACATTTCCAAACGTGACATAAAAACAACTCCAGAGACTTCTAATTCAGTCATTAAAACCTATTCATCACTGAACAAGAAGTCACAAATGACATTTTTGCAAAGTTTTCAGCAAGATCCGCTCACCAACTCACTTTCATATGCACATTTGGTTGTGCTGCGAGAGCTGAAACGAGGCAGCGGGGGGGCATCTCACCGCTTCCACCTTCTGCTTCTGATTTTTTTCCGGCTCCAAATTAGATGTTACACACGGCTAATGCTCTTCTGCATCTAAATTCAGAACCTAGTTCTGGTTTAATCACAACCCATTCAAGCCGAGATGACGATTCCAAAGATGCTGCAGCACCGTCAAGTTTTAGGATCAAACAAAAGCAAAATAAAGACTAGATTTCACACAATCTCGGCTTATAATTGGCACCTTTCTTTCGCTTTAAGTTGTATTTTGAGGCGAGGATTTGAGCATCGTGATTAGGCTTTCAGGAGATTTAAAATGTTGCGGAGTGAAAAACGAAAAGATGAAAATCCCCAACTATGGCACCCGCAAATATTTATCTCTGTGTACATGTTTGCTCCGTAGCTCAGTGTGCGTACACCGACGTGTGCACTTATACTGTATAGGTGTTCAGCCACAGAGGTAGGACAGGCTGTTGCCATGGCAACCTTGTCTATAGCTCTTGCTGCTGAATATTTATTTTTCTTTCAGTGTGTGTGTGTGTGTGTGTTGGTGTATAAGCGTGTGGGCCCCTCTGTACTCCCATGGGAGTCTCATCTATGCCGACAGTAAAAGCTGTAAACAAGCTCGGACGGAGCGGCAGAGAGCCGGCTGGAGATTGACCCCTTTGACCCTTCGGCTCAGAGCGATGTGGCCGCGCCGCGCGGGGAGAGCGACAAAACAACAGACTCAGAGAAACATCATTCAGGGGAGAGCAAATAATAAGCTGACACTCGGCCTAAGCCTCTCCCTCTCCCACCTGAGGCCTTTTTTACTCTGGCATGTGTCCCATTTGTTTTCTACCGATGTCCCGGGCGCGTCTGACCACGAAAGGAGGAAATAAGACAGCGGAGAAAGGAACAAAGTGGGAATGGCGTGAGAAGAACAGGGTAGGACAAGAGAGGACCGGGGATGAGGAAAAAGGAGAAAAGGGAGCAGGACAAGAAAAGACAAGGTGAGCCAAGAAAAGTAAAGTGAAGACAAAGCGAGAAGACGGGAGAGAGGATGTGGCGGTTCCACGGCACTCGGGGAAATCTGCTGATGACATTTCCTCTCGGCGAGCACGCTCGGAGCGAAACACCGTCCTGCAGATGGGACTTTTTTCCCTCCATGAACGTACACAGCTTACCCAACAGTTTATCAAACAAACAGCTCAATACCCACGTAAACACTGGCGGTCGCTCCCAGCGCCTAAGCTCAAACGCAGCAAGACGGTACAGTCAAAGCCAGCTATTTGGCATCCTGAGATATTTTTAAGGGAAGAATCACGAGCTCAGGAGAAGATACTAATTCCAATTAAAGTGCCCCCATAGTGGGAGATTTGCCCCAGTAGTTACTGAGTCTTGTCACACTCAAATGGAGGCGTCTTAATCTTCAGGATTACTGCACTGCTTTTCTATTAAAAGCTACTTTTCTCCAGGTCTGCGACAATCTCACCTACTAGTGTCAGTAATCGGATGCGGACACATTTTAGAAAATCCTCTTTCGATAAATATCCTTTCAATTAGTACAATCCGAGGAGGAACTGGACGGCATTTTTGTTGTATTTAAAGTCAGTTCTGGCTCATGAGATCATGAGGTCGTCTGAAATAGGTCCACAACTGACCGCTCTGACCCTCAGAGCTAAATTAAAGCTGTATATGGGGCAGTTCCAGCCAGGTGGTGCCCTCCGTGGCACTGCAGAAAAAAATGTGCTAAAATGTCTGGGTGTGCATGTGGACATCCTGCTCCTATTTGGAAAAGCAGGTGGACGGGCTGGAATTTAGTTTTTGGTTTTCTCTGGTGTGGAGTTTGCATGTTGCGTGTGTTTCATCCAAATATTCATGGTCTCCTTTACAGTCCAAAAACATGCAGCTTAGATGAGGAATCTGTGGTTATATCTCATAGAGTGTATATAAGAAGTGGACGTAGTCACACCAAGGTCTCTGGACTGACGTTTTGAAGCCTCGAGTTTGGCATTTTGGCTGTCACCACCTTGTTTGTTTTGGAACCAGAAGTGACACAAGAGAGTGGAGTACAACCGAAGGCTGAATAAGACACTTTTAGGCAAGCAAAATGTCACACTAAACTGTCATAAACTAAACACACACTGTAAAAATGATGAAAACGCGGAAAATCCCAGACCAGACAACACCGTGGTAGCGACCTGTCAATCACTGTGTAGCCCCGCCCTAAAGCATACCCTGCTTTATCATCTATTTGACTGTAAATGGACCATAGTTTACTAAATGAACATCATGCTGTATTGAAAAGACTTGAAACTAGCAGTTGGGAGCATGAACTCATGTTTACAATGTTTACTGAGACCAGTGAGAAGTAGAGTCCTTTTCACATAGACTTCTATACAACCAGACTTTTTGCAACCAGAGACCAGTGGAAAGAACGTAAGCTTAAGGCACTTCCGCATTAGCTCCACTTTTCGGACCCAGAGGTTGCCGCCTGGTATAACTAGGCAACAGTCATGTGCATGCTGGGATAGATATCAACGACCGTGAAAATGAAAAAGCAAGTATAGAAAATCTGTCATCTGGGAGATCAGAAGCTAACCGAGCAGAACAAAAGGTCACCAGGTCGAGAGTTCAATGAGCGATGGACTAAGCCAACGTTTGAGCTCACATGTTCTCGTGACTGGAATCGTCATGGCACACTGTAAACCACACCCACACACACACACACACACACCAAGTTAACTTTTCTTTACCTATGGGAAATGAGGTAAAAGAAATCCTACTGTACCATCTGCAAGTCTTAGCTACACACAAACCCGCATCTGCTGTGGCCTCTCTTCACTTACCAAACATCTTTGAAATGGCAGTAAAACTACCTCAAAGAGACAGCATCTGGTCCTACAAACAGGTAAGGACGGCTACCACATCAATATCCACCCAAAAACACGCCCACAGATGGAGACATGAAGGATGAAGGAGACAGATGCATACACGATTGTCCTGTATTATAATCATGTGCTGTCTGTGGTCATAGCTGTTAATCTGCTTGGTGCATTCAATCTGAATATTGATTTGACTGTAATCTTGTTGAGATTAAAACAATATAAAGTCACTGGGGCTGACCTCTGATTAAATAAACAACTATGGATTCAATTGGACTGTAAACAGATTGGGATACCAGCCGAGTATGTGTGTGTGTTGATGGTATTTAGTGGAGGGTGGAGGGGTAAAGCATGGCTGTTTTTCTCTACTTTAGGTCTTCTATTTCTGGGTGGGAGGAAAAAAAAGCATTCACTCTCCATCTTTAATTCTATCTAACTCACCATCTCTCCCACTTCTTTTTCAGATACTCTCTTACCTCCCCTTCCCGCTCCTCGCTCTGACTCCCACACATGCATATATATCAGCATGGAAATGAGGGAGAGTAGCACACTCGCTGCTAAAATTCAAACACAAAGTGTCCGACCCCGCTGAAATTACCCAAGCAGGATTTTTTTACTGATACTGTTTACTCGACGTTCTTGTTTATCATCCGAAATAAATCGTTTTTTTTGGATGAAAACAAAGAAGACAGTTTTGTTGCATGTTCAACAAAACATGAGTTTATTTTTGGGTGAGTGTTTTTGAGCTGCTCTCTATGTGCTTGCATTCCTCGCACACTGCAAACTTAATATTTTGACTGACTCACTGATGGATGCTGAATGCCTGTCCAATATATTCTGTACAACCTATATGATCAGTGGTCTTACCTTGTCTAATCACATGCTTTTATGCAAATCTAAATCAAATGTAGTTCATGGAAGTAGCATTTGGGGGAAGTTTTATTCTGTATTTGCTTTGCACAGCTTCTAAAGGCCACACTGTACCTGTGCCTCTATGCCACGGATCAACTTTATGGATTTATATGTCGACTCTTCCGCTCTAAAACCTTTATAGAAAGTGCAAGTGACAACACGGAGTGAAATGATAAGTAATTCATGATTTGGGGTTGAGCTTTTATCTTGAAAGGCATATCCTTCTTGACAACACAGCTGCACCATGATAGGCCTGTACTACGATTCCTTTTGTAGAGATATTGTGTTCAAAATACAAAAATACAACCAGCTCTAAAGAGTTTCGCCCTTTCTTCTCTCCATCTTCTCCACCTGTCTGACCCGTGCTTTTTCTATCAAAACCCAAAACTGCCAAAACTCTTTTCATCCTTCATGTTTGTGGGTGAAATCTTCTCCTCTTTTTGTGGCAGATATACTCATGGGATTACAGCAATATTGCCAAAGTGTGCCCTCCTG